AAAAAAAAAAAAAAAAATCCTTGGTTTGTATGTTTTACTACCATCTAGAATCATAGATTTGAAGAACTTTGGGTTTGAAAGCCCCCTCTCATCAAATCTCTGTCTCAAAAAGTCCATTAACCATCTGCCTCAAGATTAACGAAACCGCTTATTAAAAATGCAAATTTGAGGGCCTTCCCGCAGACCTAGTAAGTCAGACTCCCTGGGGAGAGGAGAGACCCAGAAGAAAAGCTGCAGTTTCAGCATGTTCTCTGGTAATTTTCATACAAACTAAAGCTTGAAAATTACAGATCTCATTCATTCTGCTCGTATAATGGATGAGAAAACTGAGGCCCAGCAAGGTAGTAGGGACCTGTGGCCTGTATCTTGGGACAGAGGAAGGAATTGAACCAGGCTCTTCAGCCCAAACCAGTGATCCTGATAATTGATATTTTCCTCTGTACCATATGCCAAGAATAGCAAGTCCACCAGTACTCAAGTTACAGCATCAGGTGATCCTGTACGTAAGAGGTGGGAACAGAGGAGAGCAGACGGTACCAAAGACTTCAGATTCTTTGCCAGAAATCCACTGTATCAGTTTGTTTTGGAAAAGTATGGAAGCTTTTCTTACAAAGAAAATCTAATGAAAGGAAGAAACACTAAAATGAGTCAAGTGGCTGTTTCCTTGTGGGTCCCTTAGCTGTGGTTAGAGACCAAGCAGAGACAAAACTAGCAACCTGTGAGCTGGATCTAAAAAGAGAAGAGCCGGGAGGGTCTGTCCTGATGTTGTGCCCAGGAGTTCCAGCAAGACCACACTGCCAAATAAGTTACATTGAAAGAGGAGTCCTCTTATTGAAGAGCCAGCCGGCAACTGCCTCAGCATCCCAACATGGGGTTTCTGAGAGCAACCCTGAGTACTTAAGGGATTGGGTTTTTAAGGCTTGATTTGCATCCTGGTTGGCACGCAGGCTGTCCAGGAGTATCTGGGTAAGGTAGCAAGCAGGCATTGTACAGAAGCAGAATTTTGCGGTTAGTTAGCCATACATTTTTGTTTTAATATTTCCCCCCTGTACATCTTAGTCTCAGTACTTTCCCCACCTGGTATTCTTTAAAAGTCAGTCCAGGAATAGTTGGTACCTCCTGGTCTGTTTCCCAGGGAGTTAGCCAAGCTAGAAATTTGGAGTGAACTAGAAGCAAGAAATTAATTGGTACTTTCCCATCTATCTTGGGAGTGAACTAGACTTACTTCATTTTTTTTTTTTTTTGAAAGCTTGCAGTCCAGAAATTTGCCAGGCATTTACTGGTATTTGTCCATCGTAGCCTAGGCCTGACACCCTTCTGTCTTGTAACACGAAGCTCAGCTGCTGTTGGTAACTTTTAAAACCCAAACCCTTAGCTGCACACTATTCCCAGGGCCCTCGATTAGACAGTGATGAAAAGATCAGGTGTCAGCCGCTAGAGTCCCCTTGCTGTGTCCCTCAAAAGAAGCAGTTTATTTTAAAAGTGAATTATAAAAACAGAAGTAGGAAAACAAGGGAAATGCAAACACCACATTGCAAGTTGAATTCCACCTTTACAACACGGTTCTTTCGATACTGTTTCTCCCCCTTCTGGCTTCACCTTTTCTAGCCCTGACGGTCCGGAATGGAGGAAACGTGCTGGTCCCCTGCTACCCCTCGGGGGTGATCTACGACCTCCTCGAGTGCCTGTATCAGTACATGGACTCAGCCGGCCTCTCCAGCGTGCCCCTGTACTTCATCTCTCCTGTGGCCAACAGTTCCCTGGAATTCTCCCAGATTTTTGCTGAGTGGTATGTCAGTGTTTTTCTCTGAATTCTATTTGATTCCGGATAGTGAAGTGTAAAGACAAAAATAATCTAGCTTTTTTCTCACATCACTATTAAAGTTTCATTTTGTTGTTTTTCTGTGTCTGTGATAAGATCATATTACTAAAAGCCAAGTCGTTTACATTGGTAGAGTTTAGAAGAATAGTATCAAGGAGGGAGGGCTGCAAAGCAGACTTGACACAGCCGTCACTTTAAAACTTGGAAGCACAGGCTCGGCGCCTATAGCTCAACCGGCTAAGGCGCCAGCCATGTACACCTAAGGTGGCGGGTTCGAATCCCCAGCCCGGACCCGCCAAACAACAATGACGGCTGCAACTAAAAAATGGCCGGGCGTTGTGGCGGGCGCCTGTGGTCCCAGCTGCTTGGGAGGCGGAGGCAGGAGACTTGCTTGAGCCCAGGAGTTGGAGGTTGCTGTGAGCTGTAATGCCACGGCACTCCACCCAGGGGGACAGCTTGAGGCTCTGTCTCAAAAAAAAAAAAAAAAAAAAACTTGGAAGCACAAACTTACATTTACCTTCTCATGTGCCCCCCGCCTGTTACAAAGTGAAGTGACTTCCAAAAGGTAAGAAGAAGTTGAGCTTAATTTCATGTTGTATGAAATGTATAACATCACATCTAATAAGGAAAACCAGATTTCTTTTTTCTCTTCAATAACATTTTTTTTTTTTTTTTGAGACAGTCTTACTCTGTCAGCCTAGGTAGAGTGCCATGACATCATGGCTTACAGCAACTTCAAACTCATGAGTTTAAGTGATCCTCCTGCTTCAGCCTTCTGAGTAAGTGGGACTACGGGTGCCCACGACAATAGCTGGCTAGTTTTTTTTTTTTTTTTCTATTTTTAGTAGAGACAGAGGCCCACTCTCACTCAGGCTGGTCTCAAACTTCTGAGCTCAAGCAATCCACCTGCCCTGTCCTCCCAGAGTGCTAGGATTATAGGCATGAGCCACCACGCCCAGCTGACAAAATTATATTTTATAACTGCATGAAACCATTGAGTCAGACCCTAAGATTAGCGAAATATTGAGGAATATGAAATCAGTAAATCTTTTTAGGATTATTTAGATGCATTTTGAGTTAGATTCCTAACTCCCCTGATCACAAATGGGGGGGAGGGGTAGATTAACTTAACTTTTACAGTGAACCTACTGATGCTTTGGAGTGATGTTTCCAAACGTTCCGAGGCTGTGTGACACACAGGATGTGAGCACTTTTAACAGCGTGATAGCCAGATGGACATATCATATACTAAGTTTCTAATTAAAAAGCAGTCTGTACGTCATTCTCATGCAGCATATCTCAGTATTATGCTGCCTCCTGCACCTCTGTATTTATATAGATCCTTTTCAATTATGTGAAATTGGGGGTAGAGGGAAGTCAGACTTCGGTACAAGGAAAGAGCCTCTGCAAAGGCTAAGAGAGGCAGATTCTGTTATTCTGCAGAAATGTGAGGAAGGAACCGATTTGAGAGGTGATTGGGAAATAGAACTGACAGAACTTGGGTTATTTCACACAGAAAAGGTTACCGTCAGGATGGATACCCCTAGTGGGTGGGTGGTGTTGGCCCCAGACGGTATATTCGTGGGTTCTACAAAAGAAGACCAGCTCATGCAGCAGGAGTGGTGAGCGTGGTTTGGTTTGGTCCTGGAGGCCTTTGTGTGCTGAGGGAGTGTGCGGGGGAAGCGTTACCACACCAGAGATGGGAGAAGGCTGGGCCCAAGCTGAGGGGGAGGTGTCCTCAGCCCTGCGGTGGCTGAAGCCCTGAGAATGGGTGGGATTGCCACAGAGAGGGCTCAGGAGGGTCAGGACAGCAGTGGGCAAAGGATGCAGCTCCATCTAAGTAGCTTCAGGGGTGGGTAGAGAAAAAGTATTAAGGAGAAGGAACAGTTAAAACAGGAAGAATCAGAGAAAGCTGGCACACATATTCTTCCCGCGACTAGTGCCCTGAAGAGTGTGGAGTACCCGAGGTCTGGCTGTCAGGGAGCAGGAAGGTTTTAGTCCTCATTCTTGATAACCCAGTAAATGCAGAGACCCTGTTAAACTCCATAACCCAGTAAATGCAGAGACCCTGTTAAACTCCATAACCCAGTAAATGCAGAGACCCTGTTAAACTCCA